AAACTAATTGTTATTTATCATATAATGACGATGGCTACTCCCACACGTTCCCATCTTCACACTGAAACAATGTTCATGATTGGACTGATGAAGCCATTCTCCCACCCTTGCAACACAAGTCGTGATTACAGTGTCTGCTACCCTAAGTAGTACAATAAATATGAAATTACTTAAGGAATCAGTGTTTGTAAGCTGTCAGATTGAAGGAAGTATTTAGCCACAGGACGTATGAGAGACTTGTGTATGTGACCACAAACCCAACTAAGCCCTAAATTATCTGTCTGATCCCAAGTTCCGTGTCGTGGACAATGCCTCAAAATTAACTCTCGACGATCTCCACCTTGAGGAATCTCCATGTGAAAAGTCACTTCAAAGGCATCCACACTGGTGATTGTGGCACAAATAGCCTTATATTAGCCGCGATTAGACGGGCGACACATCACAAAGGTGTCCCCAAAGCCATCACACATGGGGTTGGATACGGCCGTTATTCCCCAAATATCTCTGCACATTTGATAACTGCCAATTGTTTGCTTCTGTCCTCCAGGTTGATATAAGCGAATCATTTAATACTGAAGGTCATGTAAGGCTTCTAACAAGGTCGTGGAATGTTGATAACAACTTCGTAATAACATGTCACTGAGGACATTTAGAATGAACAGCATGGGTCAGTGGAGCTAACTATATTGTCTAAGCCTGCAGATGTATCATCTTATAGCACTGTCTCACACCGTTATGTTCCCAGGAAGAGATGTCTTTTGGGGTTTACTGATAGCTCTGGATGGCTTGGAGATAGAATGGCTTGCTGAAAAGAACCAATCTCATTAAAATCAGATCCTAGTTTTCACTACCACTAAACAAAGATCTGAAGACATCCCATTAGGGGTCACGTCAGAACGACCTTTCATCCGACCAATCAGTGCGTCGCTTACCAGATTATGAAAGTGACTGTCGGAATGTGATTTCTAATCATGCAATCTCGAAAACCTTAACATGGGGTATTCCGAACGATAGTTACGGGTTTATTGACAGAATCCTTACATTCTAGACCATCTATTAGTCATTCTAGAATGTTTTTTTGTTCAGGTTTCAAATTTGTAATCGAGAATTTGTCAAAATATGTTTCGAAGCAGTCGCCAATTTGAAATTTGTGCCGTAAAGCACGAGAAAGCTGGTTTTTGATTGGTCATTCCATTGATCGGTCAAAGTTCGCGCAAGGTCGGTCTGACGTGACCCATAATGGGATGTCCTCAGATCTTTGTTTAGTGGTAGCAAGAACTAAGGTCTCATTTTAATGAGATTGGAAAAGAACTATCTTGTCCTAACTTGCTGACATGTCAGGCTGTAAAAGCAGGGCAGAATTTACTTCAGATTTTATAAGATTTTGATGTTCCAGTGGTTGACAAATGGATCCAGAGAACACTTTGTTCATTTTGAGGTGGTCGGATTCGATGAAATGGGGAATGTCAGTCTCTTTGTCTTGTTAACCTTGAGAATTAAAAGAGAAGAGAGATGGGAATATGTGTGTTATTATTGTGTGCTAATCAGTATTATTGTTACAGCTTTTCAGAAACATTGCAATATGTAGGTACTGAACTTTTGCAATTGTCTCCAGGAATGATTCTTGGTACATAGCACACAATGGTAGTGTATGCGTGCATGTGTGCGTGTGTGTGCATGTGCATCTGGCGTATGTGTGTGTTGTGGTTTGTGTGTGGTTAGTGTGTATGTGTGTTTGGTGAGTGTGTGTGTGTGTGTGTGCATGTGTGCCTGTGTGTGGTGGGTGCGTAGTGTGTGGGGGGGGGGGGGAGCAGGATAGGTGGGACGGGTGTTTGTCTTTGTTGAAGTGTGGTGTGCTTGTGTCTGCTATGTGTGTGGTGTATTTGTCTGTGTGTATGGTCCACCAAGCAACACTTTCACCAAGGTAGGAGACACCAAGAACAGGCAGCACAGATTGTGCCCGGACAGGGAATCAAACCCAGACCTGTGGCACACCAAGCAAACACTTTCACCAAGGTAGGAGACACCAAGAACAGGCTGCCTACATTATACCCATAGTACAAATGTGGAGAATCGAACCCGGGCCTTCGGTGTGACGAGCGAACGCTATAACCACTAGGCTACCCCTCCACCCCAGAAGTTGGAAGAACATGATTACATGACTACTTCTTGCTCCTTCATCAGGTGGCTTTTTTATGGATAGCAACTTTGTTTATTCTTTGCAAGAAGTAGCTCTGAAACATTGCACAAAGAATACAAGAAGTTGCTGTCCATAACAAAGTGTCATGTATTCAAACAGTTACTGAATACAAAATCCAAATAGTAACAGAGTGAGTGGAAAAGACCACTTCATAGTAGCAACTTTGTGTCACACGCCTTTCTAACATTGTCCACATACTGAACCTGTTTCCATGGCAACACTTATGACCAATGAAATGATTACAAAGTCAATACCTGGAACGATCAAATTAAGCCTAAAGATGCTGAACATTCATTTTCCCATCCATTCTAGTTTGGACAAATTAGCAACAAAAGAAGATGCAAATACCAAATGCAACAAAAAGCACCTGTTAATTTATTTAATGATACATGTCTGATCAAATGGTCAATACAGTCTAAACGCAGTATTGTAAAAATAAAAGAAGGATTGCTAAAATCACAAATTGGGGGGAGTGAGTGCTCTGTATACTGATGCATGCAAACTTTGACCAGGCTACGCAAACACCCATGATAGGACACAATGGATTTGATTGGTCCTTCAACTGTACCGCTGTACCCAATGGCAGCAATATCAGATTTTGACATTTCTATAAATTCAAAACCTACCCACTATGGGATACAGCGCATAAAATGAGTTTCTTACAATTTCTGAAAAGATGGAACTGTTTATGGCAGCCAGCACACCATGACATCACCTCAGATGAGTCTACAACTAAAGAGCAAAAAAGTATTTTATTGCCAAAAACCATCACCCATCACCATAACAACTAAATCCCCCTTCCGCCTCACTCTCCAGACCTTCAACCATCACTTAGAATAAATCTTTCTCTCCATTGTATATCTTAAAGGGATAAAGGGTAAAGTTTCGCAGAACAATACCCGACAAGTTGCCTTTCTATAAAGAACAGGACAGACAATGAGTGTAGATATATACAACCGAGGGAGTGCTGAGGGGTTAATAACAGGGAGATAACATTTATAATCACCCCCAACATTACAACAAATGGAATCACAGAGTCTCTTGTCTACGGAAAGTAAACATTTACATCTGTAAGGTTTATAGAGGGAACTATTGTAGGGGGGATTATGTAAACCAGCACCATTAAACAACAGGCTCTATGTTGAACTGTATCAACTTGAAAGCAGTGCATGTGATAATTATTTCTTTTCCATTTACACAGGTAGCAGGTTACCAAACGGTCATAAATGCAAGACTGATGTTTCTCTACTTTATCTCTCGGTGCATACGACGACAAGTCCAGACCTTCCTTCCAATATCGGGAGCATGGGTGGCCCAGTCATCTAAGGTGCCTCATTTTGATGTGCAGTGTTGCATCCCTTAGGCACGCCAGAGGCCTAGGACCGTATCCCAATTTGATCCGATTATATTTCTAGGTTTGTCAGCACCATACCCATGTTCGTGGGTTTCACTGAAGTGGTAAACATCTGAGACAGTGCAAAGCGACGTTAAGCCAAACTTCTTACATAGTAACAGATATTCTACTCCCAATCTACAAACTATTTAAAGAAAACGAGTATGCTACATTTTCAACAGCCAATATTCATTTTGATAAAAAGATATCACCAATTCTTGGAAATGGAGCAGAGATTTGGGGAGCCAGGTATTTGAAGAAACTGAAAAGGTTTAAGCATAATATTTTAAAAGATTTCTTGTTGGAAAGTTTGCTTCTAATAAGGACATACATGGGGAGACTGGTTGCTATACTATATTTATTCAAACCCATTTGAAACAAATTAAATACTGGATTAAACTTATAGGTATGCCACATTATTGTAATGAGAATTACCGGTTGCTAGAATCTTTAGATAATACTGGCAAACATACTTACATAAAGAAATGTACAATATACTTAACTCAAAGGATGTAAATACTAATAAGTCAGTAGTTATCTTTTTCAAACAAACTTTCTATAAAATAAAGTTGTTAATTCATCAAAAGATGTGTCATTCACGTGAAACACCCATATTTTGTTCGTTCAATTGTCCTCTGGGCCACAGGGCTGAAATACTGAATAAACATGTCTATCTGTCAGGTATTCCATGCTTAAAGTTTTAGATTTCAATATAGATAGTGATGAATAATGCGTCTAAAATTTCAAACTTTGACTTGAAAAAATTTGATCTTTGTCATTTGGTTATTTGCTTAATAATAATTAAGTGTAATTTGGGAACTCAAAGAAATATGTTTTTTTACCTATAAGCCTCTGAAAAATACCAAGATAAATCCGAGGAATTTATCACAATACATGCCGAACATTGTGAAGAAATTAAATTTGGAAATAATTGACAACAAGGTAATGTTGCGGGTGAGCAGTAACGTGACATCAACTCATTAAATATGGGCTTTTTGTCGTCTAGGCCCGCAAGAGTTATTTCCCTTCTACACCGTATATCTTCCACTATTTCACCAGTAATCCCTTCCATAAGGAAACCATTATGCATATATGTTAATTTCTAGAACTTTCATATCATCTGACCTCACTACGTAGAAATTCAATTCAGTCCTTCCAAACTCTAACTTCTGAGATGCTTATATTAATTCTGTGATTAAAACGTGTCAATAATGTTTTCTAAAACGAACTACGGTATACAGACAGAATAAAAGAGGAATGTTTCAAAGTAACAATTTATATTTTAAGTCACAATGAAGAATTAAATCATATCTTGCGTATTTAGAATTAATATTAGTGGCTGAATTGCTAACTACGAAACACGTTCCAATCATATAGTTTGTATTTTACATGCACCTGTCACGTGACGCGACAGGAGTTAAAATGGCGGCGCCCATGTTTGGCATGTTTTCAAAACAATAACAATCTACATGTTCTTGTGTCTCCTCTGAAAACCCTGACAGACAACCATGTATGCACGAATACCTGCCCCTAGTGATTTATATGGCGAATCTGGATCAAATAAATCAGACGAAGATACAACGTGTGCTGAAGCGAAAAGTGAAGAAAGTGACAGTTTTCTGAAAATTGAAAAAACCGGGACCACAGCCGAATCTTGTTTGAGGATTGAAGATCGCCAAAGCAAACCAAAGAACATTTCTCAGCATTTGTGGGAGGTAAAGGATTTATTTCATCGCGAGGTCTGTGTTTTAGCCAAGAGCCAATGATGTCTGGACTGCCATCCCCATCAGCTGCTCGAATATGTCATGTCGCCTTAGCAATTTCGGCTGACCTGTCCCTCTTTGGGGCTATTGGAAGTTTTAGTGTTGATAAATTTCTGTTTTTGAATTGATAAGGTTTCTATTTTCGTATTGATATGATTTCATTTTGGAGTTTTAGAAATTGATAGAATTTCTTTGGCCACTCTGTATGCGTTCGAGTAGCAGGCCATCTCTCAGAAAGAGTTAGTTTGGTGATCGCTATTGCATCTCTAAGCTTTAGGAGATCTACGACAGATAGCAGATCTAACTGCAATTCTTGTTTTATCCGAGCCCGGGCTTGGGCATGGTCTTGACATTCCAGTAACAAAACGGGCGAAAACGGCTCATCGTTTGGCGAAAACAGCTACTAATTGTCGGGCAAAACGGCACCTCTGTTTTTAATAATTATAAGACCAATTTATGTAGTAGTATATATGCCTTATTTACATGGTCTATTTTGTTATGTTGTAGTATATATGTTTTCCAAGGGCAGGGACACGGTCTGTTATCCACAGAAACATTCTTTTGATTTTGGCTGCGGCAGAAAAGGTATATATATATATATGTTTCAGGTATAGTAATATATATGTATATATCATGATATATATGAAATATCTATAAAATTACTAAAAAAAAATCCTACTTACTAAGATAGATTAAATATAAAGTATACCTGCAGTCCAATTTCTTAACATTTACGCCAGACTCACTTTCAGCTTGACAATGAGTTAATTTGAGTACAGGTAATTAAAACATCAAAGCATGTGATGTTGTGCCTCCCAATCAGAGTTTCTCACTAGTTTCTAATGTAAACTTGCAACTGACCATGTGTGTTTAATTTCATGTATTTCAGTACCAAGGTAAAATAAGGTGCCATTTTCGCCAGGCAACAGTAGCTGTTTTCGCCAGTCGGTGCCGTTTTCGGTCAGTGACGTTTTGCTGAGGTTACGTTTAGCTATAACCCTCTTGTCATATACAGTGCTTTTGTGACAGAGTCTCAGGCGTGAGAGGGCTACTTCAATTTTCCTTTTATTTGAGTTTGACTATGGCTTTTTTTCAGTTTGGGTGACTTTTGCATAGCCATCTGCCGATCTTACTTGCATCCCATTGGGCTTGCCATTTTGTGGCTATGGAGGCTTTGATTTTGATTTATATCTATAGTTGGCTGTGGGGAATAGGGTGTATCACCGCTTTGTCTAGAGCTAGCATTGCCAGTGTGTCCGCTTTTTCATTCCCATAAATATCTATGTGAGACGGGATCCAACAGTTTTATATACTGACTGTGTTTGGTCTTGAGTTTGAGTTTCTGCCGCTGATTGCTTGTAGTGCACTTAGTGAGCCTGATAGGATGACTGCCTTTGCTTTCGATAGTTCCAGTATGAGTTTGAGTGCATGATGAATTGCCTCCAATTCAGCAGTGAATACAGAATGTGCTTGGGGTTTGGAGCTGTGGACACGGATCCTGAACCAGCAGTGTTGATGATAGGATTCTTGGATCCATCAGTGTGTATATGGGCCCAGCTGTCCCTGGTAGTTTGAATTTTAGTGATAGCAATTGATCGAACTGATTGTTGGATATTCATTTTAGTCACTTGTGATGTTAAAGCAGTGTCAACTTTGGGCGTTTTTAAAGTCCAGGGAGGATGTAAGCTTTTGTAGTGACTTTCTGGTGGCTGAATGTCATCACACTTGTGACTTCAGATGAGTTCACATATTGCGGGTCTCGGGTCTTGGTTATCCATCTTGACTGATAGTGGATAAGTTAACATTTGGAAATAGCAAATGCCATTTTACAAATTATGTGTTTACAGTTTTTAGTTAAAACATGTCAGCCAAATATCTCAATCCTTATAGTATCATTGAATAAACAAGATTTAGGTGGGAACTCAATTGTGAAACATTCTCCCCGATGTTGCTGAGTGGTAGGTGTCACAGACAGACATGACTCAGTTTTACAACAAAAAAACCCAGGAAAGAAACGCGAAACCATGTACTGTTAAAGTAAACATGGAAGACCCTTACACCATTGTATATTTGGCAGCAGAATTTGTATCTCGTGTCAGGAAAGGGTAGGGTAACAATAAGGGTTAATGAAAATATGTTGCAGGTTTGGGCATATCCCTTTATCAAAAAGGCCCATTGGAGGCGGGGTGAATTCACTTGATATATATTACTCCAAGTATCCAGTGCATTCTTGACCCCAAAGCTGGTTGTCTTTTGAGGTTTTCATGTAAGAAGATTGTCACAGTACAGTGTCGAGCTTGAGACAAATTGGTGAAAACTGCAGACTGGGGTAGGAAATGCCAATCGAAGTATCAAACATCCAGTCTGAGTTTATAAAACATTCAGTTTATGATATTTCAAAATATTTCTGAGGTTTAGCGATCAGCATGATGAATGCAGGTGCTTTAGAATTAGTTGCCCAATTCTAGCAGGAAGACTAGGCTCAGGCCAGCTAGTTGTCATAGCGATGTCACTTGTCTTCATGAGTGACAGTCAGTTTGTTTCAGAAGTCTTAGGTAAAGTAATTTGATGAGCATATCTCCCTGTTTTCATAGGTACTAGCTTATTTAAGATCTTTAGCATGAATTCTGTCTCTCAGTGTGTGTTTGACGACACCTTGACACTGAAAAGCAGCATTAGAAATTGGCACTTATAAGTCATGTTGCCCAATAGTTTAAGGTATCATAAGGGCTGGTCAACATTTTCCATTTTTAAGGGTTATACTATATGTTATCTAAGGACTAGTGGACTAAAACAGTTTAGTTTCTATTGCTGAAAAGTGTAATTAGCTTTGCTCATTTATTCTATGGATTCGAAACTGCATGCACCGTTGAAATTTAACTATCCCATGGACAGGAAGGGTAGCAAACATCGTATAAAGGTTCAAGAGAGCAAAGATCTCCGGTAGATGCAAGGGAGACAACTGCAACATGTAGCATGTGTCTGTAAAGTGAACTCCGAAGCCTTTTGAAATTCTTTATTATCCTGTTGCTTTAAAAAATTGGGGGAAAAAGCAATCAGCATGTCTGTCTGTTTGCCGGCTGTTTCTTCATGAAAATAAGTTGGACTTATACTGAAAACGATGCGAGGGCTCATTTCAGGAGCAGAACCCCCAAACTGTTCAATCTGTCTTGATGAAACTTGCTATACAGATGAGTCTGGTGGTGAACATGTGCCTTTTGAAAGATACTGAACAGCATTATTTTTTTCTCCACTGAACTGAAGGTATCCAATGTATTACTATAAGTAGCCAAACTCTATGTCCGAATTGCACCAGACCAGGAAATACGAGTATGTCATGTTCTGACGACTCTTGTATTAATTATGTAAAACAATCAGGTAACCATGATAACAACATTGTTAAAATCAAGGTCAAATATCTCGCAATCAATCATTTTTTAGTTTTAGCACATTTGATATTGCATAATATGTGTGATAGTTATTTACAGATGTATAATGAAGAACGTCCTCTTTCTGTTTCAACAGAAGTTTAAAGTTTTACAGAAGAGAACTGATGATGCCACGAGACGATCCACTGAGAAGAGGATCAAACATCTTCAGAGAGAAACACTTGCTAAAGGTAATAGAGAATTTGGACTTTGTACAGGTTTCATAATGGACTTGGAATGAAAGCAAAATATGTAAATGTTTAAACTTATCCTGTCTCACACAATGCATTTCTTCCCCTTTCGATCCTTTGTTTTGGAAACATGCTTGAACAAAAGTTTCTAGGTTCTAAAAACAATTCACCTGAACACATCCCAGCATCACCATGGTCACCACCCAAACAAATGGGCCACACACTGTAATCCTGTGCATAGCGACCAACACAACCTGATCACGCGACTATTGTACATGCATTTAGAAGCTGGAAACTTTTTTTCAAGTATATTTCCACATGGAGTCGAAAAAAGAACAAGAAATGCATAGTGTGACATGGGATAAGTAATATTAATATAAAATTATGTAAAATACAATACCATTTAAAGTGATGTCATCACCTCAACCAACTCAATACATGTATATATAATCAATTTTTATGTTTCATTCCCAGTTCAGGAGGAAATAACCAATCCTGATGATATTGACATTTTGCGAGAACATGATGTACGACTTGGGCCACCAGTTATAAGAAATCCTGAGAAAACACCATCAGGCCAAAAGAGGAAAAATGAAGACAAGCCAAGGTACCTTTGTAGCCATGGATTCATCACAGACTTAAGATCTAGAAATTTGATGTATCAGATATTCATTTGTCTGTTACTATGGTAACATGTCCTGTAGGAGATTGGTGTGTTTGTTCCCCACCCAGGGTGGTGGGTAGGTTAGTGCTCCAACCATTGGCTAGTCCCACTGTCGAGGAGCCAGGGTCGAGCCCCCATTCATCATGTCTTCAGCTGTGATGGAACATATTAAGCTGAAGCATCATAAACGCCCACTCGCTCCGAGAGCTGTGATGATTCACTTTGTCATTTAGGAATTGTCTTCAATGGTTTTAATTTTTTATGGAGGTATGACATACAAAACGTTGTGCACACTGTAAATCCACGTAGCAAAAACATATTGAAGTCAATTCTTATAAATTAATATTTAAAATAATAACTTGACAGGGTGCTTTGTTTATCCTTAGCACAAAAATACTGTAGACGACAACATAAAGCAAGTGATAGCATTCAGCGCAATAAGGCCACAAGAGCCCTGCCCATCCTGTTATCAGCCAATCAGGGAACTAGTCCATTTGTGGAAGTGGCATATTTTTTTTTTGGAAACATAAATGCTGATATAAATGCTTGTTTAGGAATCACTAGCACTTTATTTATGTTACGATACATATCTCGATAGTAGTTCACACAAAACCATACATGTAAACTTGATACTTGCCATGTTAAGAGACATATTCCATCATCTTAGAAAATGGAAATAAATCCAACCAGAGTAGATTCAGTAGACATGGTAGAGGTGAGTTTACACATCATACCTACTAACAGAATACGGTATTTTACAATTAATGTTCACACAGTTGTACTGTTACATGACACAGACTGTTACCTGTGCTTGACACCTAACATTGTGTTAAAGAGCTGTGTTCAGTGGATTGTTTGTTGGTGGGAAAAAAGTAAAGTGTTCCTCCTTCCTCATCACTTGTTTAAATACGCCTGAAAAATATTTCTCAGGCATATTTTGTTTTTATGCAGCCTCACCTGGTTGCCTGGACTCCACATGCATGTCCGTTATTTCATACTTGGTGGGATCCGTGAAGATCCGGGGTAGAATAGGTCTTCAGCAACCCATGCTTGCCGTAAAAGGCAACTATGCTTGTCGTAAGAGGCGACTAACGGGATCGGGTGGTCAGGCTCACTGATTTGGTTGATGCATGTCTTCGTATCCCAATTGCGTGGATCGATGCTCATGATGCCAATCACTGGATTGTCTGGTCCAGACTCGATTATTTACAGACCGTCATCATATAGCTGGAATTTTGCTGAGTGCAGCGTTAAACAACAAACAAACTAATCATACTTGATGGTCTGTAATGGTAAGTTTAATATACTAAATGTAAGTGCTCCCTGTGATTATCTCGGATTGGAATAGTGATTATTGACATTAACCACTAGTTTGGCCCTCAAGTATGAACAAGTCGTGTGATGGAAAGTCTGTTACCATGGAAACCCTGCTGTTTCTAGTGACGCTCCTTCCACGTCGACCAGCAATGCAGAGTGGCTGGAGGTGCGAGACTTGCTGACCGTCAATGACCATCTGAAGGGAGTGGATCCTGGGAAGCATGCCCCCAAAACCCAGCTGGAGAAGAACGTGGATGCAGCCATTGCTGGTGGAGATTTGGAGGAGGCGGAAGAGCTCAGTGATCGGCTTGCCACACGAGAGGTTCGGTGTTCAGATGTTTATGTATAGGATAAAACACGTCCGAGGGTTGTTATGATATTTAAAACCCGTATCCTGAGGGATTTTCCGAGGGAAAGGGTTTTAAATATCACTAACAACATTTATCCACATTTTTATGTTTCGAACATACTTTCCATGCACATTAGGAAACGGGCGTAAAATATCTGTTGCTGGCATATGGATCTTGAAAAGTACATCCTAAAAACATTGCGATTTATCAGTGCCTCTCTAACCTCGTGGTACACTCACTGGGCCACAGATACAAAGGATGCGTGTGCGATCCTCGGGAATATAAAGAAAACATTTGTCATTTGATTTTACATTTCATTACATGCTACAATCTGAACTGAAGTTGTATAAATATTATATTATATAAAATCCATCTGATATTATAACACATTATATAGCAAATATGACTTGAATATCCTATAAAATCCTGGGGATATTATATAAAATCCCAGGGACATTACAGCGTCCCTGTTTATGAGATTTAACCCGACCAGAGAACAATAGGATGACGTCACTGGAGATAAGTTCAGCCAAACCTTGGTAACTCAAGGCACTCTGCCAGAATATGTGACGGTGTCCATGTAGGCAGATGGAGGGATGACACTAGACAGGACATGTGTTAATGTTATTGGGTACCCATGACCAATGAGAAAACGAAATGTTCTTGCAATTGAAATACTGGGTAACTAAAGCTTAGATTTGAAAAGTTGACACACTCACCACTGAGGTATAATTAGAAACATGGGATGGTACATTACTTGTCTTGACGAGGTTCAGCAATATGCAGTGGAGGTTGAGGAGGTTTCACAGTATTCTTGTCTCTGAGGAATACTTACCCATGACTGTGCTTAGGTACTGATTAGGGTTATAACGTGTGGTTTGTGAGCAAAAGAAAATACTGTCTAAAGTAGGTTACAAACGTCTCCCACTCCACAGGATTACTGCCTGTTAAATGTTAAATTGAGCTATGTGCCTTGTTCGTCCCCACCACCCTACTGCTTGTCCTCCTGTATAGACCCGGGTTAGAATAGGTCCCCACCACCCTACTGCTTGTCCTCCTGTATAGACCCGCGTTAGAATAGGTCCCCCACCATCCTACTGCTTGCAACCCTGTATAGACCCGGGTTAGAATAGGTCCCCAGCACCCTACTGCTTGTCTCCCTGTATAGACCCGGGTTAGAATAGGTCCCCACCACCCTACTGCTTGTCCCCCTGTATAGTCCTGGGTAAGAATAAGTCCCCAGCACCCTACTGCTTGTCTCCCTGTATAGACCCGGGTTAGAATAGGTCCCCACCACCCTACTGCTTGCCACCCTGTATAGACCTGGTTTAGAATAGGTCCCCAGCACCCTACTGCTTGTCCTCCTGTATAGACCCGGGTTAGAATAGGTCCCCACCACCCTACTGCTTGTCCTCCTGTATAGACCCGGGTTAGAATAGGTCACCACCACCCTACTGCTTGTCCCCCTGTATAGTCCTGGGTAAGAATAAGTCCCCAGCACCCTACTGCTTGCAACCCTGTATAGACCTGGGTTAGAATAGGTCACCACCACCCTACTGCTTGTCCCCCTGTATAGTCCTGGGTAAGAATAAGTCCCCAGCACCCTACTGCTTGCAACCCTGTATAGACCTGGGTTAGAATAGGTCACCACCACCCTACTGCTTGTCACACTGTATAGTCCTGGGTAAGAATAAGTCCCCAGCACCCTACTGCTTGCAACCCTGTATAGACCTGGGTAAGAATAGGTCACCACCACCCTACTGCTTGTCACACTGTATAGTCCTGGGTAAGAATAAGTCCCCAGCGCCCTATTGATAGTCACACTGTATAGACCCGGGTTAGAATAGGTCCCCAGCACTCTGTTGTTTATCATGAGAAGCACTTTCACCGGATCTGGTGGTAAGGCCGTGGTGACTGAAACGATGTTCACTCAACCATCTTTACATCATGGAATGTCCTGACTGATTGAAACAGAAATACGCGAGTCTATTCCAAGGTTTATTGACATATGGCATGACATACACTTGCAACATTATCATCCTACAAACATGGCACATCTTCTTTTGATTGTAACACTCACAGACACGCTTCATCCTGAGAACACATCAGTCACAAACACGAGTTTATCACGTCCACGTACCCTGTAATATACATATGCCCATAGTAGGAAAGTGTTTGAAGAAATACCTTACTCCAATAGGTCATACACCAGTTGTCAGACACCCCAGTTGTTAGGCAGTGGATTAGAGATGGCTTGTCAAAACATATGAAGCTTTGTGTTTATCTAATTGGGTTCTCATAAATAATGAGAAAACAATCTTCATGCTATTGAAATACTGGGTTATTAAAGCTTAAGTTGAGGCTGCAGCATGACATTATCATTCGCTACATATATCTACATATATCTACATATATACTTATTAAGTACATATTTCATATTGCTTTGGTAGGCATACAAAATGCAAATATTTAGGCTGTTCAATATGATTCATGGGTAAATTGTATTCAGGTATGTTGAGGCATTTAATAACTTCTGTTATCTATGTATTTGGGAAGTGGACATAGTATTAGGCTCATTACTAGTCTTCATAATTAGCCACTTGTGTGAAATTGTTACCATGGATATACAGTTTTTGCTGAACTAGATACCTAGCGTGTATTTAAGGAAGAGCTCCGGTAAATATCACTCACCTTATACTGTAACTCTTTCTGTTTTAAAAGTGAACATTTGATAAAAGCACCAAGTATATAATAATGACTGGTCAAAGGGAGATAACTATTAACCTGATTAACAAGCTCCTCATAGCTCATTCGCGGAGCTCTCTATACTATCGTGCCACCAGTCATAACTCCTCACTGTGATAGGTGGCCACAACCATGCTTGGAGTTGAACTTGCAACCGAATGACCACTATGTTTACAAACAAGTGATGACTGTCGTGACGCCGAATACACTCATCGCTGCTAAATTACTTTCTTTGTTTGTCAATTTGAATTTCTGTTTCATTAAAACTATCGTGTTATTGATATTGTAAGAATGAATTGGAGAAGTTGGTTGATTTTCTGTTAGTCTGCAATCTTGAACCAATCTGATTATTAAAACAACAAAGTAAATTCATCTGGAAAACATGGTCAGTCGTAAACATTTTCAAAATGAAATATGATGGCATTCCCAAAGACATAAACAAAAGTATAAACATAATTACATTTGGGGTCAGAGGGCAAATTTCAAGATTATTGTAATGGCTGCGCCTACACTGGTGGCAGCGATGTTACCGAGAGTGTAACGAAGATGTCACGCGCTGGGAAGGAGCTTGCCTGATTAAAGGTAAGGTGCGATAACAACTTGTCAAAGGGAGATAACTATTTACCTGATTAATGGTAAGGGGAGATAGCAACTTATCAAAGGGAGATAACTATCACGAAAATATTCTTGTCAGTTTTAGTTACTGGCAGCTTAACCCAAATGAAAATCTCATAACTGGGTACAAACATTTCCACCTCCATTGTCTGTCTAGTTCATTGTTCATCCTCTGTGTTGTCATGTAGGAAATAATAACCAGTAAATGTTGAACGAGACGAGACAATTGTGAAATTAGCCAAGGACTTACAATATTCAGTAGCAACTTTAGAACAACAACACTAATCTTATAACAAGTTACAACAGTACAATATCCAAACAAGTCATGAAACAAACAAAAATATATCACAAAATTACAACATGTATCAAAAACAATCAAAAACAATATATGGACATACATTTTCCTCAGTACAGATACGGTCCACCAGGTGTTCTATACGTCAAATGATTCAACACATGATTCAACACGATTCACACATACCTTCCTTTCTTCACAACCATAATTGCATATTTAGTATTAATCAACATGAAGAATTGGAATTGATTTCTACAAAAACAAATTGGTGATGCAGACAACTGTAGATATAATCAGTGAGTGAGTGAGTAGGGTTTTATGCTATTCAGTAATATGCCAGAAATATGGAGAGCAACATCAGAAATGTGTATCAAACTTGGCACTGTGACAAGCAAATATTGTAACTACTAGGGCATGGTGGTCAGTATGGCATCATTATCACCGACTTCCCGGGAAGTATGACTGTTATATCCAGGGTTGCCTGCGCACTTTGTTATAACAACAACATCAAACAATAAGTGTATAAAATATTGCATACATTTCTCACATCATTATGCTCTGTAGAATTCATTTTTTACTTCAAAAATAAATCACAGTCACCATGGTTACTATACATGATATGGTCCACATTTCGAAGAGTATATTTCTTGTCCCTGGATACAACTGGTTAACGTGATTAACCCTTGTCCAGCAAGCATCATAAGCATTGGTCAATGGTCACAGCTAATTGTTCACTGATTCATTGTTACATCACAACATCAGTGATTGGTCAGATTGACGGAGACAACAGTCAATATGGTTCCAGCTGAAACAGTCCCAAACAGTTACAAAATGAAACAAAGTAAAATTTCGGACATATTTTGGCCATATCGAACTGTTTTGAATTTGGGAAAAGACCCCAAACTGCAGAGATGTGCAGGCACAGATCCCACTGGCATTTTCAGGCGTTTTCACTAAATTCATTTGCAATTTACATTGCCAAAGTTGCCCTTGTTAAAGGCTGCAGCTCTACCCATGTTAAAATTTTGGTCTAAGGTAGACTATTCTTTTGATAATTTGTCCAGCTCCTCAACCCCAATATACAAGTGCGATGCCAAGTTTGTTTGAAAACACTGATATTAGTACCTCCTCAACCTGTCTTATTTGCATATTTATCTGTGAATGACACCAACAGATGCGGTTTTTATCCACTTGCTTTATTCTGCCAAGAAACCTACGCAATATAACGCTGTTGCACGTTACACAGACACTTGGAACACTGTAACACATTACATACTTTGGTGAATGAGGACACAAGTTCCATACACGCTTGAATGGCCTTTAATTTGGCAGTCTGGCCTTTAAAAGGCCTAAAAATCTATAAATGGCCTTGAACAGGCAATGAATTCGGCAACCATTACTACTGTTAACTACACATGTCACAATGATTGTTTTCCTTTATAACTGTTACAATATAAAGTGCTGCATGATTATACAGCACATAGCACAGTTTGTAAATATGCTTGATTGGGGCTAGAAGTACCACAGTGTGGCCCTTAGTGAGTGTTACAGCTATGTCTTCCAGTTTCTGTGTACACAGATTAATATACATCATTGCTGAGTGCATAAAGAGTATTTATGCTGTGACAACATGCATGCACAAGACTCACAATATATATAGGTTTTAGTTATGAACATGGATAAAACTCATGGTATCAATATGAAAACTAATGATGTCTTAACATGCTCAAATGAAATGTTTACTCAACCATCAATAGGGCTAATGGGATGTTTCATTAATTTACTGTTAAAACTCAGAGGACTTATTGAAATGTGTACTTGTATATATCTTAAATTAAAATATAGCTGAACGTGTGCCATTTCTATGGCACCATTACATGCTAATTGCATGACAACTTTTCCAAGCAATCAGTGATATCCAACCTGTACACCCAAAATATCCCTATCGATTGTTAAGTGGTTTATATAGATTATTTCAGTTGTGAGGTGTTATTGTCTTCACAACAGACATTTAGTGTCCAGATACACTGTCATTAAAAAACTCAGCGAAAAAATGTAATGTCAGCAATTTTTACCTGTGATATCATCTATAGTGTCACCACACTGTAGAAAAAACATTTTCTCACAACCATTGCTAATGTCCTCGCATTATCATATTATTTTATTAAATTTCTAAAAATGAATACTCTGTAAGAAAATAATCTATGAAGCACGTAATGTTGGCAACAGATTTTAGAATCTTCGCCTTCCATATTTTTGGTTCTAATATTGTATTCGGGTAACAAAATATTTAATTTTCAACATTTGCTGTGACACATGTTTTTTTTTTTATATAAATGTGATAAAGAGAATGCAACAAATAAATTATTAATCATGTTTATCAGAATAACATACACTCAAGGAGAGTTACCTCCCCTTTGCCTGGACACAGCTCTGGACACAAGAACCAGTGTAGTGGAATCCTTCACTTGAGTAAAAAACTGATAGAAGTGAATAAAAATTAACTTTTCACACAAACGAAAAAACATGAATTGGTATATAGTGAACAAATGTGATATCAACGCTGAAACATAGCATAACAAATTCAAATATATTCTGATAATTCTATCACAAAGAAATGAGTAACAAAATAACAAGGTAACAATCTAATTTCTAACTCAGTATTGACAAGACTTAGTGGGTAAATATAGGCCTATGCTACTCAAATTTTGATAGGGATCATCCTCCTATACCATGTTTGACCAATACCAATTAGGTCTTCAGCAACCCATACTTGCTGTAATAGGCGACTGTGCTTGTCGTAAGAGGTGACATACGGGATCGGGTAGTCAGACTCGCTGACTTGTTTGATGCATGTCATCGATCCCAATTGCGTGGATTGATGCTCATGATATCAATCACTGGATTGTCTGGTCCAGACTTGATTATTTACAGGCCGTCGTCATATTGCTGGAATATTGCTGAGTGCGGCGTTAAAAACAAACAAACAAACAATAACCATTACTTAAGGTACATGACAGTAGTGAGAAATATATCAGTATCCCTGTCAAGAATTGAATAGCATAGCAACAAATGCACCCTTCACATCCAACAGCGGAAGCCAACAGTGGTCCGTATTTAGCAACTTTGTATCACAGTGTCTTCATTATTTGATTGTCCTCTTCCTGAAACTAGCACGAAGGTCAGCCCTGGTCAATGTCTGCTTTTTCTGAAGGGTTAGTGAGTGAGTATGGTTCTACCCTGCTCTTAACTATATATTTGACCAATGTCGTGGCAGGGGACACCAGATCCCATGTGGGGAACCAAACATGGTCCTTCTGTGTGCTGAGTGAACACTTAACATATCCTGCATAAATTAATAATGGTTTACATATCGAGCTTGTGACTTTTAGGGTAGGCTTTTGGGTACTCCCCCACAGTGAAGTTACAGTTTTTAAAAAATCCTGGTTGCATCCTTGAAGTTTGATTAAATATTGGCTTATATTGAACATAATTTCATCTTTTTTTCCATGTTTAATCAAATGTTAATTGTTTTTAATGAAATCATTGCATATGAGTTCATTTATAATTTTCGTGCAAACCCTATACTGACACTGCCATGATGTTTGTGATCTGGCAATATCTACATCGCTTGGCCATCAACTGCCTTGGACAATTAGAACTTTCTTGTTTCCTGTCAGTGTATTGAAACTATTGTATGTGGAAAATTAAGATATGAAAATATTGCATGAATAATGGTTTGGGAAATATCCCTTCTTTGTCAGTTGGACCGTGGCATGAACAGACAATGCACACCTGGAAGTTCTGTTCTACATTGTTCCTATTTTGAAGCTGCTAAGCAACTGAAACTGTTATGATATGTCCGTACAATCCCTCATCACAAGCTTCTTGTTGAGGCCACAACAAATTAAAGAAATGTTCACCAGAGTTTGGGGGCAAAATATACAAATCATTCTGTATATTTAGTATGACAAAAAAGTGCTATTGACTGATTTTTGTGGTGACCTTGACCTTTCTCACAGGTTGTGTATAATAAAGCATTAATTACCAAGGAATAGAGAATAAAGCTAAGCCTTTTTATACACAACCTGGTTTTACAATTTTTAACAAAAAAAGAAGAAATCAAAAGTGTGTATTCTTATAATTAGGTCATTACAGGGTTACCTCCCTTCCCTAATCCTGTAAGTTGTTTTCTAAACTTTGTTATCAGACTTGAGAGATATAACAGACAGTGACACACTCGTGAGTCAATGGACCTTTAAGACATTTTAAAAAACACCTTACAAGTCATGGATATATTTGGTGGGGAAAAGAGCCAATGATTTCAACATTTTATCATGATGTTATGGCCTAATTCCCCCAATTCACTGAAAGCCCTCTGAAAGTTGACCTCAACACGACTACATAGCATCACTGGCGTCACTATTCTCCTCCTGGTTCTCCTGCTTCTCCTCCGTGGAGTGGAGTTCACTGTCCATACAAACAAAGTCTCGTAGTGATGCAGGAAGGGGCAGAAACCTCGACCCATAGAAGACGTTGACGCGAGACTCAAACGCTCGTCGAATGGCAATGCGACAATAATGCTGTAATGTCTGAGGCTTGAATAGATACGACTTCAGCCATTCAAGAAATCGCTTTTCATCCGACGATTCAAGTTTCAACTTCTGTTCATTTGTTAGCTGGTACCCCGTCATCACTAGGAGTTTTAAACTTTGTAGCATTTTCGTATCTACCAGTCGGTAAAATAAATTATTCTGTGTATTACTTCGAGTGGATCCAAAATTGGGTGTGGCACACAACAGTGTTCCCATGACAACATCGGTGGCCTCTTTCCAAAGTATCATCGACCCGCCAGACTGCAACCACATGACGCTGATTTCAGGGAAATTGGTAGCGTAACGTAATAAAAGTATGAGACAGTCCTGATGACTCTTCCGTGTTGCAGTGTCGATAGGCGTCAAGTTGAAGTCATTTTTTAACATGGGATCAGCTCCTGCTTCGAGAAGCTTCTTAACAATTTCCTGATGTCCAAGTCGGGTGGCCAGGTGGAGAGCAGTGTTGCCACCCTGTTGCTGAACCTTGCTGTTGATCTTGTAGTTCTTGATAAGTTCGCAGACCCGGTCCATGTCATTGTTGTTGACTGCGTCTTCCATCTGTTTCTCCTGACTCAGTGTTGATTGGAGAAAACTGAAGAAGTCGGCCATCTTGGTTGTTTAGGTCTGTTTCTGAAGAAGAAATAACAACGGAACTGAAGGCAAACTATTTGACGAATAACGTGGACAGCATTTACATGCTCCAAAAATAACATTGGGATCATCATTTGATGATCTTAGATTTGACGTATGAACAAATGAACTGCACTTCCTTGTCCTAGAATGTTATCGGCTGTATATCTGCCATGTTTGTTTGTTTGTTGTTTAACGCCACACTCAGCAATATACCAGCTATATGACGGTTGTCTGTAAATAATCTAGTCTGGATCAGACAATCCAGTGATTGATATCATAGCATCAATCCATGCAACTGGGATCGATGACATGCATCAACCAAGTCAGCGAGTGTGACCACACGATCCCGTAAGTCGCCTCTTACGACATGCATGAGAAGCAGTCTTTCATGAATAAGCATGAACAAGGAAATGACTTCAGTCATTATATCAAACCACTGAACTATTTTGAAGTTTACATAAGATATGAAGATATGAATTGTTAGATTCTCACACCAAACACTCTGCCTCACATCACCTTATTGTCCCCAAGTACCCTCACTTGTTCTGTCGTAAGAGGCGACTAACGGGATTGGGTGGTCACACTCACTGACTATGTTGGTACATGTCATCGTATCCAAATTGTGAAAATCGACACTCACGATGTCAATCACTGGATTGTCTGATCCAGACTCAATTATTTACAGACCGCTGTCATATAGCTGGAATATTGCTGAGTGGGGCGTAAAACAACAAATAAATAAAAACACTGGTTCTGTCTTTCTTAATTATTAAATACGGTACACCATGTTCGGAGTACAACCAGACATTCCAACTTCAACCAAGCGTACACCATGTTCAGAGTACAACCAGACATTCCTACTTCAACCAAGCGTACACCATGTTCGGAGTACAACCAGACATTCCTACTTCAACCAAGCGTACACCATGTTCGGAGTACAACCAGACATTCCTACTTCAACCAAGCGTACACCATGTTCGGAGTACAACCAGACATTCCTACTTCAACCAAGCGTACACCATGTTCGGAGTACAACCAGACATTCCTACTTCAACCAAGCGTACACCATGTTCGGAGTACAACCAGACATTCCTACTTCAACCAAGCGTACACCATGTTCGGAGTACAACCAGACATTCCTACTTCAACCAAGCGTACACCATGTTCGGAGTACAACCAGACATTCCTACTTCAACCAAGCGTACACCATGTTCGGAGTACAACCAGACAATCCTACTTCAACCAAGCGTACACCATGTTCGGAGTACAACCAGACATTCCTACTTCAACCAAGCGTACACCATGTTCGGAGTACAACCAGACATTCCTACTTCAACCAAGCGTACACCATGTTCGGAGTACAACCACACAATCCTACTTCAACCAAGCGTACACCATGTTCGGAGTACAACCAGACATTCCTACTTCAACCAAGCATACACCAGAGCTACAGATAAACAGCGTATTTGTGTAAAATACACCCCCCCCCCCCCCCAAATATTCAAAACCCAATTACTTTCAATTAACTTGCGTACCGATAGCATGCGTTAAATGAAAAACTCAAATGTATAAAAATAGTTCACGTAAATACCTATTGAAGCTTTTTCAGCATGCTTACAAAGGAGCTAATTTACTTTTATATACACATAAAACATTATTTCATTTTTTCAAAATCTTAAAATCTTCACTAATTTGGAGAAAAATCCAATAGAGTGATGAATAGATGAGTGAAAAAATATTGGTTACCCAATGAAAAATGTAATAACCCAATTAAAATAAAATCTCTAGATTAAAAACTCAATTGATCAAAAAGTTATCTGGAGCTCTGGTTCACAGATGACTCCATTCAGTGAGTCGGACTATATTTTTTATCTCCGACTGGGCTCAGCGGCTGTGTCGACCTTTCATGCACTGTCACAAGTGCCTGTGGGGTGAATGACACTGTACACAGGTTAGACGCACCAGGAAGCCGAGAGAGGAAAGAGACGATTTCACACAAGTGACAGTTACTCAGATACTGGCAGGCAGCCTCATAGCTAGACTAGCTCATGTCTCTAAGGCAATAATTATTAGTTTAAATCATGATTTCTAGATCATATAAATAATAACAAGCTGTCCCTATAAGAGACTGGAGTCCTTACTGTCCACATATCTAGACTTGCCTATTTGGAAGAGAGATTTACTACACATCCATGGATGTTTCTTTCATGAGTACAGCCTTGGAGTGAGGCTACCTCATAGAGGACGAGGCTCTGTCATTGGAAGTGATTAAAGTCTCTCAAAACACCACTTGTGTTAGTTTCACAAATGACAGAAAGTCTAGAACCTATACTGTGAAAGGTAGACTGGAGCATGGTCTCTCATTGAGTAGATGGACTGGTACTGCCAGTCATCTGGACAGTGAAACAAAATGATTCTGCTGTAATCTCTCATCAACATGACTTAGCTAGTCTGTCCCATAGTCCCAGAACCATATTATTTCCCCTTCCGACCAGCCCTTTCTGTAATGCAAAATCCCCAAATGAAGTAAGTCTCGATTTTCCTCAGGAATTTCCCATCTCACTGGGGCTCCTTTTCAACTTAAATGGAGTTATTTCATTCTATCAAAATCACGGTGTTAGTCTAACCCTGACCTGACATGAAGCTGTTCAAATGATGAACGCGAAGGTAGAAGTAGCAGAAAGGAAGTATCCCGGCCTGGTGTTCGTGTCTGCAACTCTTAGTTCCTAATATCTTATTTTTAAATTATGACCTGCTACAATCATTATTATCGTCATAACAAATAAATAAATAGTCCTTAAAAAGTTGCTGAAATCAGTTATTTCCTCCCAGTGGTAAAGATGTCAACAGACATGCAGCAATAACATGTCAATAAAGAATATGTCAAAATATTAAAGAGAGATGTAACAAATGTTATATTTGGGATAACACTATCTTAGTAAAGTACAGATTCTAGTACTTTTGGGGTAGAGTGAGGCACCGAATCGCCAGCACTGGGACAAAGTCAGTGATCTAACCCACACAGCCACTACACTCCCAAGGAGATATTCTTGCTACAACTTACCCCCCCCTACACTAACATGGCCCTTTACCCCTCCCTGCATGTCTCTTCTGTACCCTCTTCCTTCTCACCCTATCCATGCTATTTCTCCCTCAGTCACAGACACCCCTACCTCTCAACCCTCCCCCCCTCCTCTCTCTCTCCCCCCCTCCTCTCTCTCTTACCCCCCCCTTTACAGTTTCATCTCTTGATCATTCACCCACCAACTTCAACAATCAGTCAATTTCCCTCCAGCCTCCATCTTGCTTTGCGCACCCAGACTCACCACTAGTGTCCAGTGTGTCTGACTCCTCCTCTGCCCCGGGGTGGGGTAATATAGAAGGGTGGGGGCACCACCCTGCCAGCCACAGTGGCCCGAGTCCTGACAGTGTCAGTAGACACCACTGTAATGATTCACACTGACACACTGACACCTGGTGGGGAAGGGAGACAACTCCTAGGGGACTCCCATGGTGAAGGGTTTCATGGCAAAGTTCTACTTGTCTGTTCACAGCTCCTGTTGGAGATTAATCAGATTTTGAGAAAAAATTGTGGAAGTTTTGTCATACATGTTTGATATGTGAAGTAAGAGTAATTACATTTCTCAAACATGTTTTAGTGTGAATTTTAAAAACATTATATTGTGAAACATGTTTGGCATGTGAAGAAATATTAATCAATTTTCTTTTAATAAAAAAATTATTTTCAAAGAATTATTTTCAAAATGCCAATTGCTTTTGAATTTTTTACCTTGCCAATAAACCAATTAATGTAGATCATTTGTTTTATTTATGAATATCTATATGTATTTTTTGTGTAATGTTCTTTTCTTACTGTTTACTCAAAGCCAAGATCTAGTACTCCTTGTTCTAGAATATAACTTCTTAAATGATGAACAGGTACTTTATTAATTTTAATTGTGATTTTTAAAAACCTATAACTTATATTGTTTTGTCACTTATTCCAGTTTGGAAAGAAAATTGCTGATGCTATGGATGCGAGAAACTACCTGAGAGACAAACAGGTGAGCCCCTGAGGACACACACTCCAAGAACAACTCATGTATGATGGCCATTGTTATGTAGAAAGTTTCCTTGCCATCATTATCATTAACATAAGAGGCACAGGTGGCAGAGTTGTGCCCCTTATTCATGCCAGGATCTGCTGATCATATATTTGCATTGAATGGTTTGTCAGCATCACACTCACCGGTTGTACACCGGTTGAACATCTGCAACTCGCATCACTTCAGGCTTCCCTCCCTAACCCTAACCTAACCCTAACCTAACCTAACCCAAAACAGCAGCAATATGTTACCATGGTTATGCAGAACCTGTTGCTATGTCTTGAATATCTATAGACATCAGCTCACAATCCTTGAAACTGGTTACTGAGTGATGACAGGCCAGGTTCATCTTCCCACTGTTCTCCCGACATATTGATTGACTGGTACTGACAGTGAGTCACCTCCACCAAGCCCCGACCATGGCGGCTGTTTGTTCAGACAACTGGGCTCCACAGATCAGGGGGCAACTTCTTCTACCAGCAAGGAGATATGAATCATTGATCTGATTTCTCATCATGTAATACATCTTTATGTGTTGCATGAGTCTGGGGGACGGGGAGGCAATGGTGGCCAGTCGGCTAAGGCACCGCAATACGCTGTGCAGAGTTGTGTCCCTTTGACTCTTCAGAAACCTATGATCATGGGTTTGAATCCCAGATCACCCTAGATATATTTTCAGGTTTGTCAGAAAGCTTCTAAGAGCTGCATCACTTGGGGCTTTCTTCCAACATTAAGCTGGCCATTAACACCCCACTCACTCACTCACTCACTCGTTAATCGTTACCTTATTGGCTGATGGTGTTTAATCGTTACCTGATTGGCTGATTGTGTGTAATCATTACCTGATTGGCTGATGGTGTTTAATCATTACCTGATTGCTTATATTGTTGCTGGTTTGGTATTGACAGGTTGTCGTGATGTCCCTAGAATATTACCGATTGTGGCTAACATAGCATTTACTCACTGCATCCGTGAATGTAAAGTGCGTTTGGGTTTGCATCGCTATTAGCAATATTCCAGCTGTATCACAACAGCTGATACCACGAACATCCTTCACACATTGTACCCATGTGGAGAATGGAACACGGGTCTTCAGTGTGGCGAATAAACACTTTAACCACTGGGCTGCAGGGACTTGCTGTGGTGTGTAAGACTGTATGTTCTGGGGACTATCGGTAATCCCGTTTGGAGGTCTCAGGGTGACCACATCAGCACATAACAATTATAGTGAGTAAGTGAGTATGGTTTTACGACGTTTTTAGCAATATTCCAGCAATATCAAGGCAGGAGACACCAGAAATGGGCTTCACACATTGTACCCATGTCGGGAATCGATCTCGGGTCTTCGGTGTGACGAGCGAACGCTTTAACCAGTAGGCTACCCGACCGCCCCTAACAATTATAAGTAGGTGGGGGGTGTAGTACAAAGTGACATGTCTTTGAAATCAGCAGAATATTTTTTTACATTTTAGAAAGAGGCTGAGACAGATAAAGCCAAGAAAAAGAGGAAGTTAAACTGGGGGTAGGTGGTTGAAGATTATATTTCAGTTTCAGACTTGGATTATCTGCCTTCAGGAAACTGCTTTCCTTCTAATTTAGTTGACTGACCAGCACAGGCATTCGTGATCAACTCGTGATCAACTCGTGTTATTTCGGGAACCGAATAGCGACAAACAGGCATACTTAAAAGATTTGTCAAATCGTTGCAAAGCCACATGTATTTCTTGTCATATATCAAACATATGCTTTTTAAAACACATCAGGACTTACGGTATTTATTCAGTATGAACATATTTATCTGTATCAATGGTATATTTTAAGATGCAAGATCGAAAATTATTCCCGAGGGATTCTTTAACCGAAGTACTTGAAGTCATACGTGCATTCTGATTGGTTTATTGTAACTTGTTTGATAGGCATTACTTAGAAGTTGGCGGATGACAAGATAGACACAATTTTATGGATAACAACTTCTTAAATACTGTAAAAAGCGACGTTTCGGTATAGATCCTTATACCGTTGTCAAGCAAGACTTGCTTGACAACGGTATAAGGATCTATACCGAAACGTCTTGCTTGACAACGGTATAAGGATCTATACCGAAACGTCGCTTTTTACAGTATTAAAGAAGTTGTTATCCATAAAATTGTGTCTATCTTGGTTTATTGTATTTCCGCACATAACATTCAACGATAGGGTGACAAGTCTTTTTGCATGTTACGGAAGGGGCGAGTGGTGATGAATGATGCAGAGGGCCTCTTTGAGGTCACATGACCCAATTCAGTCCCAAATTAATTCATCTGTATACTCATAAGCAAACAAAATGTGGCGGAAGTTTCATGGACAACACCTGATTATACACAGCGGAGGATCCAGGGCAGGGCAGGGCTCGACTTGGCTGTACAAAACATGACCCCCTGCATCAAGTGCATGTAAAACAAATTTAAATCTGTGTCTGACTTACCCTTACTTTTCAACCCAACAACATATATTGAAGTCTATCAATACATTTAAGCTTTTTGTACCATACTAAACAACTAACCCCTGTGTTTTGTGTAATTTCACTTCAGTGAAATATCAAGTGTTATGTTCACTGCAGTGAAATATCAAGTGTTATGTTCACCGCAGTGAAATATCAAGTGTTATGTTCACCGCAGTGAAATATCAAGTGTTATACATGTGTATTCACTGCAGTGAAATATCAAGTGTTATGTTTACTGCAATGAACATATCACTTTTCTCAAATTCAGAAAACTCGGTCTTTTACACTGAAGTATGTAATAAAGGTTAATGTATGATTTTCTTTTTAAAGTAACAGAAACAGATTGACTGTGTAATAGGAGGAGTTCAATAGGAGAAGTTCATGGTTGTGCGAAATGGAGTTGTACACGTACCGTCAGATGGAAATAGGCTTCCAAAAGCAATATGTACAGGCATTGAAGACAGAGGCGGTCCTCATTTAACAATAAGTTGAACAAAACCAAGTATTCGGAAAATAATCATGATTATCCGATGAAACAGATTCCAGGGGGCATAAAAGAGATATCTTTTAATGATACTTCTATTAAAAATGTGCACTGTCGCAAGACCAATAAAGGGAAGTAACTCTTCCAGCTCTACTGATTAATTGCAGCATGTTGAAGGGATCAGGGTTTTGCAGTGTGAAGTGATGGATTAACGCATCAATCGGTGTAGAGACACTTCATTTCAAACACTATGGTTGTTGGTTTCCAGCCTGACATTCTGGTTGGTCAAAGTCTCAAATATTTCCAACATCCGTGTAGAATAGGTCTTCAGCAACCCATGCTTGCTGTAAGGGGCGACAAACAGGATTTGGTGGTCAGGCTCCCTTACAAGGTTGATGCATGCCATCGTATCCCAATTACGTGAAATGATGCTCATAATGTCAATCACTGGATTGTCTGGTCCTGACTTGAATATTTACAGACCGCCGTCATAGAGCTAGAATATTGCCGAATGCAGCATTAAACAACAAACACATACAATCACACAAAACAAACCAATATGTTACAGAAATACATGTACTAGTTTTTCAACAGATGCATCATAAAATACCTCTCCTTCCACCTAACATGCTGATGTACAACAGTCAGGGAGTTTGGGAGAATGTTTCATACGGATGTTATGTATGTTTGTTTGTTTGTTTGTTGTTTAATGCCTCACTCAGCAATATTCCAGCTAAATGACGGCGGTCTTTAAAAAATCGACCAGACAATCCAGTGATTGACATCATCATTCAGCATTGATCCACTCATTTGGGTACTTTGACATGCATCCACCAAGTCGTTGTATTTGTTGAGGAGATTTAATAATGTTGCTTTGGATATGAGAATTGTCCACAGTCAGCAGCTGGGAGGCTGAGAGCGACATGACCCTTCATCTATGATTGTATGTGGTGTCTTCGTTCGTTAACTGTGTTTAATCACTGTAAGTGTAGCTGTGTACAAGAGTGTTGCTGGCGCCATGTGCTTGCAGCCAGCAACATGCTCATGAGAGTTATCTCCCTTCCTGTCTTTGGCTGAGGCCCATTTAAGGATGGGGCCCATTTAGGGTTTAGCTAATACCACATTGGCAGAGGAATGTAATGTTTAGAACATTAAGTGGGATGTTGATTTGGGCCCTGAAAGACTGGCGGTTGAAGTTAAAACCTCTGGCTTTTTCATATTACTAATTAGACATACACATTAATCTATATTTATGCGTATGTATTGAGCTGTGGCCATGGTCAAATAAATAACAAAGACAAAAGATTATGTTTCTTGTACGAATATGAGAGAAAATTTGATTACATGTCAAAATCAGAAATAAACTGAATGTATTCATTTGCCTACAAAATATTTTCAGAAGAACATTTCCATTTTCAGATTTGAACACAAGCAGCGATGGGAGACAAAGGGAAATATGTAGGAGGAAGCAATGCATGCTGGGATTGAGACATCTGTTGCCATGGTTACATTGCATTTTGTTTTATCTGTGTGCCTCACCTTGGAATCATGTACAAAACATGTTCAGTCTGTGGTTGTTCATGGACAATGAATCCATTTCTTCATAAAAATATAATTTTCTTTTTTTTAGATATTTATCATGTTGTTTTCTAGATCTGAATAACCATGTATTTCTTAGAATAGAATTACAAATAAAAACATACAAAACAATCAGAACTTCAAAAAGAAAATGATATTTCTTTTTCTGATATTGACAAGATGTCAGGAGTTGAATATGGCAGATGTTTTTCCCCAAAAGAAACTCAGATTTCACAACCAACAGACATTATTGATTTATAATGAAAGTCTATTGAAAACAGGATTTGAATACAAAAAGTTTTGAAAAAAAAATCTTTTGAGGAGGAAATTAATGTTTTACCCTGTGGAAGCGAGAGCTGCTGTTCAACTAGTTAATCATTCATGTAACAATTACTGTACTACCTCTAATAACCACCAGGTTTTATAGGGGCGGTTGGGTAGCCTAGTGGTTAAAGCGTTCGCTCGTCACGCCGAAGACCTGGGTTGATTCCCAACATGGGTACAATGTGTGAAGCCCATTTCTGGTGTCCCCCGCCGTGATATTGCTGGGATATTGCTTAAAGCGGCATAACATCAAACTCACTCACTCACTCACTCACTCACTAGGTTTTATAATCACAGGCCTCTGACTGTGCCTGGTCAGAAGCATCATAACTTCCCGAGGCCAGGGCGATAACTGATTACAAAAGTCCAGTTTCCATCCTTGCAGAACTAGGCTGGAATTCCGGAGTTACGTTTTGGCTGGACTAACAAAAAAACAACGGTTTGTAAACAACATGGATTTCAACTGGCAGATTTCGGTCAACTACTGGATTTGCAAAACATGTGTACGGCTATGTGGGCGTCACAGATATTTTCAAAATCTTTTCACGTTTTTAATCAAGGTGCTCAAATGATTTGATGCACTTCGCGGGGAAAGACCCGTTTTTTTTACAATATACATCTTGATTATCGATCAGATCGTCTTGACTGGGCTGCCATTTTGTTTGAAGAAATGCAAGTCATATGAGAGATCGAATCTGGTTGCTCAATAGGAGGGACATCGAAGGGACATAACACGTAATAGCTACTGGCAACGCTACATTCGAACCTGGAAATTCAAGCCAAGTTTGGCAGGGGTGGAAACTGGACTTTTACAGTTGTTAACTCCCTTGCCTCAGGAAGATGGAAGCATCTAAACAAGAACCAGGGCTCTGAATAGTGCCAGGTCTCAAGTAAGACCTTCGTACATTAGATTAAGTGACTTCTCCATGGTGGGAATAAGAGGAAATACATAAAGGTCCCTATGTCATCAGTGAGAATTAGAATGGAGACACTTTAGTTAACTAATGTATCTATAAATAGTGGTAGTAAATAAATAGTAGTCCAGAAATGAGAAGTACTGGACGTCATTAAACCATGGAGATTAGAAGCCACCTGAACTTATTACTGATTAACATATAACATCAGCATATTGATGAGATGTATGGATGTTATGAGAAACTGTCATGGAAGCTGAAACTGAGCCAAATGAGTAAGTGAATGTTTATCTTATCAAGTCTGGACCAGACAAACCAGCTGTTGATGGCATGAGCAACAACCTATGCCACTGGGGCACAGTGACATAATAGATCCAATTCTACCCCCAACACAAGCATTGGCTAGTGGAACCATTTCTACCCCCTGACACAAGCACTGGCTTGTGGAACCATTTCTACCCCCCGACACAAGCACTGGCCAGTGGAACCATTTCTACCCCCAGACACTAGCACTGGCTTGTGGAACAATTTCTACCCCCGGACACAAGCACTGGCTAATGGAACCTATTCTACCCCCGGACACAAGCACTGGCTAGGGGAACCATTTCTACCCCCGGACACAAGCACTGGCTTGTGGAACCATTTCTACCCCCAGACACAAGCACTGGCTAGTGGAACCATTTCTACCCCCGGACACAAGCACTGGCTAGTGGAACAATTTCTATCCCCAGACACTAGCACTGGCTAGTGGAACCATTTCTACCCCCGGACAAAAGCACTGGCTAGTGGAACCATTTCTACCCCCGGACACAAGCACTGGCTAGTGGAACCATTTCTACCCCCGGACACAAGCACTGGCTTGTGGAACCATTTCTAACCCCGGACACAAGCACTGGCTTGTGGAACCATTTCTACCCCCGGACACAAGCACTGGCTAGTGGAACCATTTCTACCCCCGGACACAAGCACTGGCTAGTGGAACCATTTCTACCCCCTGACACAAGCACTGGCTTGTGGAACCATTTCTACCCCCCAAACACAAGCACTGGCTTGTGGAACCATTTCTACCCCCAGACACAAGCACTGGCTAATGGAACCTATTCTACCCCCGGACACAAGCACTGGCTAGTGGAACCATTTCTACCCCCGGACACAAGCACTGGCTTGTGGAACCATTTCTAACCCCGGACACAAGCACTGGCTAATGGAACCTATTCTACCCCCGGACACAAGCACTGGCTTGTGGAACCATTTCTACCCCCGGACACAAGCACTGGCTTGTGGAACCATTTCTACACCCTGACACAAGCACTGGCTAGTGGAACCATTTCTACCCCCGGACACTAGCACTGGCTAGTGGAACCATTTCTACCCCCTGACACAAGCACTGGCTAGTGGAACCATTTCTACCCAAGGACACAAGCACTGGCTAGTGGAACCATTTCTACCCAAGGACTCAAGCACTGGCTAGTGGAACCATTTCTACCCAAGGACACAGGCACTGGCTTGTGGAACCAATTCTACCCCCGGACACAAGCACTGGCTAGGGGAACCATTTTTACCCCCTGACACAAGCACTGGCTAGTGGAACCATTTCTACCCCCTGACACAAGCACTGGCTAGTGGAACCATTTCTACCCCCGGACACAAGCACTGGCTAGTTGAACTATTTCTACCCCCTGACACAAGCTTTGGCTAGTGGAACCATTTCTACCCAAGGAACCCCACGGGTGTTGAATGAGTGTTCTTACTTGGCTTTGATGTCTGTATCTTGTATTCATTGTGTAAGACAGATACTGCCGAGTGCCCATTTATCATTGCATGACCTGAAAAGAGAAATTGAGAGTTCATGGAGTTCTTGGCGTTTTATCTCACCTGAACCAAGGTTCAAGCGAGTTTTTGTTGAAGCATGTTGTCTGTCTGTCCAACCACCAACCCATCTGTCATACACATATCTAATGAACTACAAGGCCCGTGATGCTGAAATTCTGTATGGATGCTCCCAGCAATGATGTCTTTAAAGAGTGTTCACTGAATTTGCATTTAAACATGGTCGACATGGCAGCCACATTGAGAATATAATGTTTGTCCCAAATTGAACAAATGTTTTAAATCAAGTATGAAATTGTGTGCAGTATGTGGTATGCAGAATAACATTTAATACGTTTTGGGGATATTATGATTTCATTATTGTATCTAAACTTGAGTGTGCCTTTTATATTTTGATCTTTGGGTCGGAGGGTAGCCTCGTGGTTAACGCAATCGCTCATCACGCCGAAGACCTGGGTTTGATTCCCCACATGGGTGCAATGTGTGGAGCCACTTATTGTGTTTCCCATCCTGATATTGCTGGAATATTGCGTAAAGCTGCGTAAAACCCAACTCACTCACTCACTCACATTTAAACTTAATGTTACAATTAGTGAGTTTGGTTTAACACCGCTTTTAACAGTATTCCAGTTATATTGCAGCGTGTCAGCTTAATGTGGGAGGAAAGCCCGAAGTGATGCAGGTCTCAGACGTTTACCACTTCGGTGAAACCCACGAGCACGGGTATGGTGCTGACAAACCCAGAAACATAATCGGGGTGAACCGGGATTCGAACCCACAATCATAGGTTTCTGGCGTGCTCAAGGGACGCAACTCCGCACAGCGAATCGCGGCGCCCTAGACGACTTGCCCACCCGTGCCCACTTGCAATTAGTACTTTACATTCAGTCAACATACAGCGCCTTGTGGCTTTAGTTTTTCTAAATCTTAAACTTCACCTGATCTTTGGCTGAATGGTCGCACTAACAAACAAGTAATTTGTTGTGGCTGGAACACACCTGACAGAGGAGTGAATGGACTTTGTCATACTACTCAGAGATTGCCTTGGGATTACTCCCATCACGTGTGATGAGCATCATCAACTGTTGGGAGTTAATCACATAAACACAAACCTGTAATTAGTGAATGTGTGAGGGTTCGCAAATCATTTCTAGACTGTCTGCCCGACAACTGCTAATTGTATGTAATGTCTATTTCACAAGGTCGTCAGTAGGTCCGTCTGTTTTACAGCAGCGTGGTTACATTGAAACGATAGCCTTGTATGCTTTCATAGTTGCTGTGATGGTGTTCTTTGTGAGTGAGTAAGTTAAAATGTAACGCCATATAGCGACGAGAACAAGTTGCTATAATTATACACTGTGTTCTTTGAAGGACGTTGGTGGCAAGTACTTAAATGTTTAATTAACAAGTGTATCCAATGATATCCAGGCTGCTTTCAGAGGATGAGAGGCCAAGATAGAAGCAAAGATATCAAGGAGTCCACCTTTGTAGTGTTCCCCCACTGTGTTATTGCTAGAATATCGCTATTAACCACATAGGATCTCAAAGACACACACACACTCACTCACCAATACAGCCAGGTTATATATCGTCTATACACTAGAATGTACAAGTTCAAACCTCTGTAACTGAACTTAATCAGGCTTTCCTGGTACAGGATACAGGATCTCAGAAACCAGAATCCAACCAGAAATACTTTTTGGAAGCAAGTAAAAATCCCAAAATCCAACCAGCCAGCCGCCAGCTGCTATCACCTGTACTGGAATCAAGTTAGCTTTAGTTCAAATTTGGATTAGGTGTCTTCGAACCCCAAGTGCGGAGATCTGTTGTCCACCTTCAGTCAGTGGTTTGACTGTTCTGGTTCAGACTCGATCATTTAAAAACCGTCATGATGTAACTCGAATATTGCCGAAGCGTTAAACAACATTCACTCGGAGATGGTGTGTGCCTATCTTACATGCCATTTGTAAATCAAAACATGACATTACCGGTCACCAAACCTCATCCATCTACTGCATGCGCCATTACATCGTGACCAACTCGTGTCATCTCGGGACAAGCCGA